TCTGAACTCTGATCAAACAGTCCCACAGTTTGGCAAACTCACTCCTGAAGTACTAAAATGACTAAAAGTAAACTTTCCAGCTTGTCTAAATGGATGGTGAAAACAGAGTATTTCAATAGATGTTCATTTGCTTTCTTATTTGCCACCAGAAAATTCATGACTGTTACAAGAAATATTTATTTGCAGGAGGGTTGTTTTTATGTTATTTCACCTGCCCCCATCTATTAAATCAAATGGATGTAATTCATCGCTTGACTCTGCAGTCTTCCCTGCAACCCACAGAGGAGGGGGCCTGGGGGATGAGTGAGCACACAGCATGCAAGAGCAGCCGGAAAGGATGGTTGGAAGTGCTCTCCTCATCACAAATATGTGTCTTCAATATTTAGTTGTTATGGCAGGAAAACGCCAACAAATACATGAACTGTAAACCATCTGGCTTGAAATATGTTCAAATATGAATGTTCATCTTGAAAAATGAAATCTATGGAATTCTGGCATCCACTTTGACTTTTGAGAGATGAACAGCTTGGATATGCAAAGAAGGGATTTCTAGACTAGCCTTCTTCAACTTTAAATTTTCCTGAACTCAGAAGTTAAATGATTCACTACCTACAAAGGAAACTTCTCTTTCACTTTTAAACTTTAATGAAAGCCACTGGCTGCTTGACGATTCCTGCCAGTGTCTCTGTGTAGGGATCTGTACAGAACTGTCTTATGTGCTGAGAAGTGGAAGAATGGATATGGTTCTGTATTTATTATTTAGCACTAACTAACCTCTAATGTGTGCTACACACAATATATAACAGTTAAAGAGCAAGATAATCCTGACTTTCACTGGATTTGGAAGTCAAAAAGTTAAAACTTTGTAAGGAATGGTGAATTGGTCACTCAGAGCTGGGATCTCAGGAAAGTCAGCAAATGAGTTCTGGAAGAGTTTCGATGACTTGTTATAAGAAAGAAGCAGTGTGTTGCAAATGTATGTGAGTGACAAAGAAGATGAAGGCTAGAGAGTGGGAAGCTACCACAGGACAGTTCTGGGCTCAGCAGACCAGAGCATTGGGGAGTTCTTCAGGGGACTTCAAGGGTGCAATCTTTACCACTCAAGATGTCCCTCACCTTTCAATGCTTCCTTCATTTTCATGCCTGTACCTATGGCCACCCGAGCCAGATCATAATGGAAGCCACCCCTCACCTCTCCACCAGGGCCATGACTGTGGGAAGCAGGCAGCAGCCTCAGCAACATTCATTTGCAATTGTGGCAGTGGAATAAATGAGAGAATCATGTCACAGGGAAAGGGACAAAGTTGGAACTGAGTAGTGTAAACTAAGTCTGTGATAGAAGCCATTTAAACATAATGTTTCCGGAAATAAAAATATCATATACTTAATGCAGCAAAAGTGAGGATATTGGTGACATATTTCATTAAATTTTATTTTAAAATCAGATGTATTTTCCTGTATGCACTTCAACTTTTTTCTTTCATTCTGTCTTTCATTTAAAATGAAATTTATTCAATATATGACTTATGCAGTACAATTGCATAATTATCCTAATAAATCTTCCTTAAAATAGTCGTGTAAGGACTTGGGGTTATATGTGTTTGCATTTCCTTATTTTTTTTCATGTTTTCACCTTGATGCTTAGATGTTTGCATATGCTTTCAGGAAAAGGCAAGAACATACTGAATGCTTAGAAGAGGACAACTTGGCAATACTGTTTGTGCATTCTAGGAATTCTGCTGTATCTGCAGGGAAGGTGGATTTTAGTATGCAGAAGCAAAAGCTACTATGTGAGCAGTCTGGCCCTTGAGGATCAAAGTGTTTCTTTGTTGGGTCAACTGGTCAACTGAGAGACTAAAAACAACTGAAAATGTAATGGAGAAAGGTCAGCCCCCAATTGCAGATGAAAGTTAGTATAGAGCCTGCATTCACGAATACAAACAATTAATCTGCCAGTGTAAACATACTTGTTCTCTTCCCTCTACTTTTTCCTTTGCAGAAAGATTGCTATTGGTGAGCTTTACAAGAGGAAAAAAACCCTCCACATCTTCTTTTGTGGTGGGCTGGAAGCGCCAATGAGTATAATCATTTAATTAGAAAGACATTAGCTACCTTGGAAACAAACATATCAAATTTCACCTCTTTTGTTCTGAGATAATTCTGTGAAATAAGATGGGTACTACCTATTAGCAATGAAAACAATTAGATAAAAATAGATCAAATTCTAAACACTTACATCATTTCAGTAGGTTCTGTACACTTTATGCCCTCCCTAAATACAACTCCATTAACTTTGCTTGACTTCTTTGGAAATGATTCAGTCTTGGTTTAAACTGTAATCTGTACAATGGCCATGAATAATTGAAAAATCAATAAGCCAGGTGCCAGTAGCTTACACCTACAATCCTAGCTACTCAGGAGGCAGAGGTCAAGAGGATTGAAGTTCAAAGCCAGCTCAGGCAAATAGTTTGCAAAACCCTATCTTGAAAATACTCAACACACACACACAAGAAAAAGAACTGGCAGAGTGGCTCAACTGGTAGAGTGCCTGCCTGGCAAGTATGAGGCCTTGAGTTCAAATCCTACTACCAGGGGAAAAAAGCAAACAAAAAAAAGAAAAGAAGAAGAGAAAATGAATAGATAAGTTATTCTATTGTAGTAATCATATATTTTGTATTTTATAAATTTTGTGATGCTTTGATATCTTGGGGCCTGCTATGGTTTGAATGTTCTTTGAAATGATTAAATGATTCAGTCTTGATTTAAATTGTGATCCTTCAATGAAGTAAAAGCTGATGGATATGATGTAATATGCATTCCCAAAATTTCATAAGGTAAATTAACAAATAATAGAGCTAATGTCTTATTGATAAAAACTGAGTACTTCTATGAAGGTTGGATTGAATTGCACTTTGATTAAACACGATATCTTGTGTCTTATGAGGTCTGATTCCAATATTATAAACCAATCAGTGGTGTCATCACTGGTCCTGGAGTGATTTAGTACAGAGGAAAAGTTGATTTGATGCATGAGAGTTTGACAAAGGAAGTCGCTGAGTGAATGAACACTGGATTGATTGGCTTGAGTTTTAAAGAAGTGTTCCCAACAAGTTTGCAGTCACTAGCAATTAGCCAACCCTAACCAATCACTAGCAATTGGCTGGCCATTCTAACTTGCGAGGTCCCTCCCCAAGTCTGTAAAGTCCTATCTTAGTCCATTTTGTGCTACTGCAATAGAATCCCTGAGACTGGGCAATTTGTAAAGGACAAAAATTTACCTAGTCACATTTTTAGAGGCTGGCAAGTCCAAGATCAAGGGGTTAACATCTGGCCTTCTTCCTCATCAGTCCAGGTTGCAGCGGCAAAGAGAGGTTGAGAGAGAGAACAAAAAGGAACAGAATTTTTCTTTTTCTAAGCAACGCACTCTCTTGATAATGACATTGATTAATTCATAGATCATGACATAATCACCTTTCATTAGGCCCCACCTTCCAACACCACCTCATTGAGGATCAAGTTTCCAACAAGTTTGAGGGACACATTTAAGCCATAGCATGCTCCAATATCAAACCATCACAAAATTTATAAAATCAAAGTTACATGATTCATATAATAGGATAACCTATTCATTCATTCTTCAACTATTCATTAGCCTTATGTAGAAATAGTGTACTTATCATAAAAAATAAAATTCTTATTAATAATTAATAAATTAAATGAATTCCTACAGCTTAAAAATGCCCAACTTAGGAATGCCTTTTATAGCTATCCAAAATCCCATATGCTAATATTTCCTAAGTAAAACAGTAAAGGATAATGTTTTAAATAAGGATGCTAAGGTCAGGGAGAGCTGAATTCACGTCCCAACTTCTCCTTCAGCAAGTGACTTCATTTGAGCTTGTTTCCACATTTGTGTAATGGGGCTTATGATGACTACTTATTAGAGTCTATATACAATTTATAGACTTGAAAAGTTCTTGACAAGTACCAAGACAAAAATGAATCAATAAAGGTTCACAATTATTACTCTTCCCTGGTTTTTAATTTTCTAAACTTCTTTTAGGGCAAGTGAATGGACCTATCCACCCCCACCCCGTAAAGACACAGACTTAGGCATTTATCCAAATGACTCAAATCTCATGTTTTCATTTTCAATATGAAAAAATTTTAAATGAAATAGTTAGGGCAAAACTAGCCAGAAAATTACAGTATCTCTGCCTACAAGACTAGTCATATTTAATAACTATGACTTACTCAAAACTCAGGGAATGACCAGGTTCAGATGCAGTCACCCCTGAGATGGCCAAAGTATCAGAGGACATCTTACTTGTCTCCTGAGTGCAACAAGTGGGAATAAGGGAGAAAATGGGTTTATTTCATCAATGCCCCCTCATGAAAAAGCTTTATTTTTTCACCTCACAATTTTAGATTTACAAGAATTTTCCTATCTGTGACTTTTTTAGAAATTTTTACACTGTGTTCCAAAAGGTCATTTTAATTCATATTTATTTAGTCTTCACTCTATGTTTTCTATAGAACTTTTTGGAAAGAGGGGGAAAGAAGCAAAAATAAGCAAAATAGAGGAAGCTGGAGTAAAAGCACTTTGCTGCACGTAGCCTTCAGAAGAAGTTAGGTTATTTCTCAAATTTGCACACAGACATTATTGTCTTGACTGCAATCATGTAGAAAATAAATGGGGAGTAAAGTACACGAAGACAATTTAATACAGCAAGCTTTCTTTTCTTATGAAATCTTTGAAGAAAGGAATCATTAGAGAGAGAGTTGCCTTGTATTTACCCAGGTCATGAAGCATGTCAGATTGGTGACGTGCCTTTGGCAAGACGTCCTTAATTAGAAATTCCTAGAGAGCGGCTCCCAGTAGGTCCTTCCTAAGACAAAAAGACAAAATAATTTAGTAGGGAACTCCTTACAAAGCACATGACATCCAGGCTCAGGTGACAGAAAGAAATAATTTGCTCTTAGCAAATGAGGAAAGTTTCATGATGGTGTGCTGGATTTTGACTGAGACTGTATCCATCATCGTGGTAGTAAGTATCATTTTTGTTATTCAGTTTTAGATACATTTACTGAACAGACCCTAATTTTTAGGACAACTTGTATAATAACATTAAAATCTTGAAATGTTACTTTAGTTAAAAGGGCAAAATTTGTTAGCAAACATTCAATAGGTAAGTTTAATTTACCCTTACAGAATTGTGCAAAGTTGTGTTCCAACTGAGTTCATCTTTAATTATTTTTAAAGTCAAGTAGTTTGTGTTTGCATAATGTATGAGTCTTTCTCTAAATCAAATGAAGTCTTTGAATTAGTCTATGAAATTAGAATTTTTCTAGAGTGCTTTAAAGATTTCCTCCTTGTCATCCTTGTCAAGGAATGTTGACTAAGACAGTTTTGTGCTTTTCATTAAATTACTTGAAGCTGATCCATATGTGTGTAAAATCTTTTTTATAAAGTTAATAACTTCTTACCATCTGTAATCACCACTAAAAAAACTAATCTGTGAGAAATTACTGTATGGAATAATTCTGATTAATAGTAAGAAGAGTTCTATTTCATTGTAAAAGAAGAACCCAAAGTGATTTTTGAGTAGAGGAAAAGGTTGAAATAATATTTATGGGGTCTCTTTTTCATTCTACTCTAGCTCTCATGGCTGGGCATGAATTTATATCTGTTTATCGACACATACTATTGGTATGAAGAAGAAGAGTCATTCGTTTACACACGAGTTATTCTGGGTGTAAGTAGAGTTGGTGCAATGCATGTTTGGTTCAGAAAAAGAAATGCATTCTATTTTTCCTGGCTTCCTTATTTCACTGTGTCTCCTTTTTGTATCTTTGCCTATGGACAGTCGACCCTGGCATGGGCACGAGCATCTGCAGTATGCCTGAATTTTAACTGCATGCTAGTTCTCCTACCTATCAGTCGAAACCTTATTTCATTTGTGAGAAGAACAAGTATTGTAAGTACCAAAATATTTGAAATTAGCCAGTTGTTATGACATGCATGTGCTTATTGTAAACAAAGATGTATTTTACTATGAAACAATCAGTAATTCTGTTTAAATTGATTAAATGCAAAATCATTGCATCAAATTTGACTTTGGTGTTTGTTGTTGACTTCTCATATGACATTAGACTCATTGCTCAACCTTTTCCCCCATGGAGATGTAAGCATTGTTAACAGTTTGAACCATTACTATTTCTGATTGAAGGAAGACAAACAGTTGAGACAAATGTCACTCAGGAAACATCCAAGCTCTTACCACAGTCACACTTCTAGGACCTAGACTCCAATATGTTGACTTTAACACCAACCAGCCATAATGGGACTTTTCCTAATCATAATAATTTCACTGTGCTGAGTACTTACCTGTGTTTCCTGTCAAACAGAAGAACATACAAAAATAAGAACTTCAATAATGTTTATAAGCAGAAATAATTTATTATGGAATCATCATGATTTAATGAATATTAGATATAGACGTATTTAGTACCTTTCTTTGTGTAATAACGAATAAATTGCAGACTACTTAAACTGCATGGCTGAGGGTGATGACTGTCACCTTCATTTTTTAAGTAAAGAATCTGAATGAGGCATGGATTTAGGAAGGTTTATTCAAGAGTTTTGAGTTATAGCAAGAGCACTACTAATTTATTCATTTTTATTCAGCTGAAATTTCAGCAAAGCAAGTAATAACCATTTGTTTTGCTGTTTGACTAACTACCACTAACTTTTTTGTGTTCTGTAGCCCCACTTAAAAGCAATGAAAAGGCAGAGCTTGGGTCCTACTCTCTTAACTTCATGACATTGTTACCCCTGTGATTTTGTCGAAATTAGACATCTACTTGCTTATTTATTATTTTTGTTACTCTAGTGCTTCAGAGGACCGTGGAGGAGACAATTAGACAAAAACCTCAAATTCCACAAACTGGTGGCTTATGGCATAGCTGTTAATGCAAGTAAGTATTTATTAATTGACTAATGGACTTTATAATATCTAATGCCTAACTTTATAGTTTTGTTTTAATCCTAAGTCTTGTCCTTAGGTGAAAAGAATTTTCGCCCTCCATCTGACCACATAAACCTTTTACAAATGGGTTTTTGAGTTTCTAATTTGTACTCACATGAATTTCTCCATACCTGATGTCAATCTATCAAAAAAAAGTTGGTGAAATTTTCTTTCCATTTCCAGACAACATGGCTTGTTGATAATACAATGATAAATTCCTGCTTAAAAAATGAACACTTTGTTATTCAATATAATTCACATCAGAAATAAAATTGACCTATGCTCAAAATCTCACTCACTCACAGTCAGAGGAAAATGAATGTCAAGTGGTATCAGATGCAATAAAAAAAGAAAAAAAGAAAGGTCATATGAACCAGGTTCTGGATAGTATTGAGCTAGTAGGCATAAAAGGATCTTAGAAAGATATGAATATAGATTATATATCAATAAAGATTGGCATATAAAGTGTTATTGGTATTTTTATACTTCTAATTCAAGTAGAAATTAACATCTAAGTCAAAGGTTAGACACTTGTGAAGAAGAAAAGAGGAGGGAACAATAAGCAACTGGCTTATGGGGAAAAAAAGGCATCAGAATAAAAGGCTACCAGACCAATAAAGAGTTATGATTCAAGACTGTTTCCCTCAAACTAATTTAACTATAAAATGTTTTCCTCATTTGTTTTTATCCTCTCATGCATAAAAAATAGCAGAGTAAAAGGAACACTCAAAACAAATGTGAATTTAATTAAGCAACAAGACATGACAGACGGTGCCCAAGTGCCAATTAACACAACTTTGGGTGCGCAGTGAGACATGAGGGGAAGATTCTCCCCATTGATCGTCTTCAACGCCAGATTAAACCAACCCACAAAATGCTTCACAGATGGTCTTTGTGGTTTGTCAGGAAGTAAGGGTAAGAAGTCAGTGTGTCCCAAGGAAAATGAGCTGAGGGATGGAGGGCAAAGAATAAAGCTGGTTCACTCTCCGGTCCCAAGGCCTAGAGCAGGACAGAGTCAATCCCTATGCGAAGAGCCTTTGAAGAATGAGGCAGGCATGAGGAATGGGAACTCAGGAAGCAGATTTCAGCTCAGAAATGAAACTCTTCTCCAGACACTGGAAATATCTAAAATCAGAATCAGAGTCTCCTAAGTGCATTGAGTTCTCAGTAGTGGGTAGTGTTCAAGCAGAGGCTAGAATGCCCCTTGGCTCATCAGAGAAGAATTCAAGGAATCTCTAGGTTTCCTTTAAAAATTTAAGGATCTTTCATTCTGGCATTGAAAGGGGAGATATAACACAGTAAAATGACAAAAAGAACATTATCACTATACCATAGCTTAAAGGCAGAATTGGACTGGAAGAGAAAGTTATAAAGATATTAAAGAGAAAACGGAGAAAAGCCAGCATCAAAACTCATCAGAAAAGCAAGCAGAGAATAAAGGAAGAAAAGTGTTGTGAAATAGCTTTCTCCTTAAACCTCCGGGTACATTTCTTTATATGTAATCATATATCTATAGTACAAATACATCCATAATGCATGTTGAATATCTTCCATGTGTGAGACACCCTGATAGGACCTATAACCTTCTGAAAGCAATATGGTCAGCCTTGATTTAGGAGGGGGCATAACAGTTTGGATAGTAGTTAGCTTGAATCAGATGACCAAGTTATTTTACAACTTTGCTACTAGTTGGTTAGGTGATCTCAGATTAAGTTCCTTATGCCCCCATGTGGAATTAAAAGAACAGCAATACAATTTATCCAGCTCAGTGAAAGGTGCAAATTATTGTCAAGACAGGGCCAACTTGGAAATCTATAGAAGACAATGTCATTTTCTTGCTGCTCTTGCAAATAAGATCAAATCCAAGTTCCACAGCATGGCAGACAGGCTCTGCTGGTATAGTCCCTGTCCCCTGGCCTGTTCTATCTCAGTGCACCCACCTGGGGCAGTATTCAGAGTCTTCTGTGACTCTGTCCAGGCATTCCCTCTGCCTGAAATGTTCTACCTCTCCTTCATGGGTGCATACCACCATATTCAAAACTGAGACAAGGTAATCCTTGTCTCAGACCCTTTGCCTACAGGGTTCATGTCACAATTCCCACCGCTGAGTGGCAATTAAGACTCAGATGGCTTCAGGAGCTGAGACTGTGCCTCTTGCACTTTGGCTTCCCTGCTCCCTGGCACATAACAGGTCCCCAAGAGATTAGATCAAACCAGGATGAGTGGGATCCAACCAGCAGGCAAAAAAAATTGAGGGAATTGCTGGGGAAAATATAAGATGAAAGTACACAAGTTGTTCAGAGAGCTGGAGTGGCCTTGGGTGGATGGAACAATGTTTGGGAATCTTTCAAGAAAATGAAAGATTCACATTCACATTCTGCTGCACAAAAGAAACAAGGATGTTCTTTCTCCCTCTTTCCCTCACCAATCTCTGGAGAGCATCAGTATTCTTACAAGCCACTTTCTCTTGAAGCCCTGCTGCTCTGCCTAGCTCCCAGCATCTCCCGGGGCTCCCTCAACAGGGTCAGAATCTCATCTGGGAGCAAAGTGCCTTCTCCCACACATCCATGGCAACCATCCAGGCTACTGTGGTTTCCAGCTTGGACAAAGGCAGGAGGATGAAAGTAAGCTCTCTGCTTCTCCCAACCCCTGACAAAGCAATTATTGCATTTCACATTAACTAAGAAATGTGGCTGGCAACTGAGCTTTTAGGGGTGAGAAAAAATCCTAAGCCCTGGTTTCATAGATCTACCCTGCTTTTCACATTTCATCCTTTGGTGTATTCTCCAGGGAAAACTGCAGGGTCCCTGAGCTTATTTTATTAGCCTCACCCATTATGCTGCTTTTCAAAAAGCCAACTGGCTTAATAGAGGTGTGTAACCTTGGGAGAAGTGCATCCAGAGAGAACTTCGCATGCCAGCCTCTAATTTCTCATCCGTTCTCCTAGAAGTTAAACTGCAGGCTCTAATTGGTCAGATCATTAAAGGATGCAATTAGAGACTGGGGAAGTAGGCTAGGGAGGAGGAGGGAAGATGCAGGACAATGGTATCTATAATCAAGGGCATCGCCGAAAATGCAGCAACAGGAGCCCTTCTTCCTTTGGCTTCCTGCCTTCCTGCTTGCCTGTCTATGATAAGAGCTCCTGGAGCATTCTCCAACCACTAATAAATCATTTTCAGGGACCTGTAACCCCACTGGTAGAAAAATCGTAGTTTCACAGCTTTTACATTCTTATTAATGTGGATCTTTCTGGATTCCTTGGCCCATGATAGACCTTGAAGACCCCTCCAATTGAAAAGTAGTTCTTTGAGCCTGTGTTTCCATCGAAGGAGGCTGGAAATAGTGACCCAGGCAGCTCTTTCCGGCAAATTCCACGCCTTGTGTCTGCCAGGTTTCAGGAGTATACAATTACCCTGAGTGCAGTTCCTGATGAGTTGCTAAAATTAGTTCACAAACATCAATAAACAGAACAGGGGCAGGTTGTGAAAAGAGAGAGCTCAGAATAAAGGCACTAGGAAAAATAAAAATTTGGAGGCCCTGTGGTAAAGGGTCCCAGAGGCACAAACACTTCAGGGTCCAACCCCTAAAGGATTGCTACTTAAACAGTGCTGCAGGAGGTGTTGGGCGCTCCAGATGAGGCTCCACCCCCAGGCGTGCCCAGCAAGATTTATTGCGATTTACAAACGTGTGGCACATGCAGGGTGCCAGATCAATGTGTCTTCTTACCAGAACACAGATTTGAAAAAGTCTGAGCCAGAATCCGGTTGCAGGAGTGCAGCCAGGATTCTTCCCTGGGTCTTTGCTTCCAAAGGCTGCTTAATCAGGAGGTGACTAGCTCCAGAATGACTGTTATCACTGACAGGCAGGCAGAGAGACAGCTAGAACTGACCGCGCTTCCAAGATTCTGCTCAATTATGCTTCCTTTGATCTCCAGAAAAATAAGAAGGAAAGAAAGAAGGAAAAGGAATGTTCTCAGGGCAACTGGCTCTAATTGTAGCTTTTATGGGTTTTTTTGTTCACTCTTCAATAAAAGCTCCTTATTTGAACTCAGAAGTTCACACACCAGTTAAATGTGCATGTGTAGTGCCTCCAAGATTTCTGCTCATTTTTTTTAATGTTTTTAGTTTTATTTTTTAAATTTTTTATTGGGATATATTCAGTATATGGGGGAGATTCATAGTGACAATTCTGATTAGACTTACATTGTACATTAGTTACATCGCCCCCATTGTCTCTCCCCCTCAACCTTCTCTCCACCCCACTTGAAGCAATTGCAGGAGGTTTCTCAGTTCTCTTTCATATAGGTGTATGAAGTCCATCTACCATATACCATCACCTTAATCTCCTTCTTTCACCCTCTCCCTCCCACTAGTACCCCCTCCACACACACACTGTACCTATTTTACAGTCCTGGTTTTCGTTATTAATATTTAAGTTGATGCTCAAAGGGGTGTCTCAATGTATGCCCTCTGTGGGTGTGCTTTACTTTGGTCCATTCAACCTTTTCCATTGCTCTCCCTTACCCCTTTACCTTCCCCTCCCCATTTTTCAACAGCTTTCCATATATATCCCCTACCTTCACATCTTATGGTATACAACAATACTGATGCTCTAACATTTTTTCCTGTCCCTCCTTCCCCGAGTTCCGTAGAGTGGTTCCACTGTTACAAATGTGTCCTACAGCTGAGTTTGTATATGATCATGCTTGTTTTGTGTATGTGTTTATCTTTGGATCTATATGCTCTTTTAAAAGCACTTTAGTAAGAAAAGAAAATTGTGGAGAAATCCAGTTTCAACACCTTACAGCCTGACACATTGGGTGGATTATGTGTGCCTTGGCCTCTTCCAAGGGCATGACCATGCACATCATGGGAAGTCTGCAGAGGCACCAGAAGGACATCACACACATAGTCAATGGCATTGGATTTATTGCAAGACTGAAGAACCCCCATTAAACCAGTGTTGATTTTGAAAACAGGTTAAAACATGACTTTCATGTTTGCATTACTTTCATATTAACCTGCAGATCCCTTTGGGGTGACAAGTGTCCTGTTAACTCCAGAGAAAGACACAGAAACCACACAGCTAGGAAAGAACTAAGATATCATGGAGTTTCATGCAATTCACCCATTTTACAGATGAGAAAACAGGGGATAAAAGAAATTAGGTAACTAAGAATCATCTACTTCAGTATTCTGCTACATACCACCGTCAAATCAAACAGCACTAAATGATACTGACTAAACGAGGTATCGCACACATTAGCATTTTGCACATCTCTGAAACAACAGTCACTATAACTCATACCGTGACTATTCATATTAAAAAGTTTAAAATTTATAAAGGAAAGAATAGACAATTTCATCTCTGGAAAAGGACAAAAACAATGTCTCTCCTGGTATCTATCGAGACCCGATAACCCTGGATTTGGTGGCTGGTACATCTGTAGCTCTGAGCCAAGGCAAAATCATAATACAACTAAGATCAGGTCTAAGAGGAAAATAAAACGGTTAGGCAAACAAAATGGGCACATGCAGTTTTCATTCTGAGAATCTCTGAGGATCAGTTTGACTCTAAAGTTTGATTCTAGATTTAATTCTAGATTAAAGAAATCAAGTGAGCCATTCAAAGAGGTTTATCTAACTCCATAGGAGAAACTAGTTTTGAACAAACAGTAAGGTCTAGCAATTTTTATATCAGCAGATATAAATATCCAATCAATACATAATTAATTGATTCCCTGAGCCTTTCTTTATCCCTTCCACCTTTCTGCTGTCTCACTGTCACTTAGCAAATAATTATTAAATACTTACTGGTGGATATTCTCAGAAGTTTCTGCTGGCTTTATTTTCCCCTCATTCTTCAACCCCCAGTGGGCAGCCCTGGAGTATTCCATAATCCACCCACAACCTACATAGATTATAATACTAGTAGGCCCCGCTACTTCTCATGGTGGATGCAGAAAAAGGTAAGAAGAAGTTATCAACTGGGAAATTACCGATATTTTGTGTAATTAATTTGCAGTTCACACTTGAATCTGACCCTAATGGTGGGCATCAACTGACCACCGGCTGTTCCTAAGCAGCAATGTGTCATCCTTTAGATGTAATGACTGCTGGCTTCCAAAGATTTCAGAAGACAGGAGAGTAACATCAGACACAGAATCCTCAGGCCAGATGAAGCTCTTCTCTTCACTTAGAATGTAGACAACACTAATTCTTAGAATTAGATAGCACAGTTAATTCTTAAGACTAGGGAGAGGGCATGTTTGATTGCAGAAATACAGCAATCAATATTTCAATACAGCAGAAATAACCCATGTAAATATATGAGTTTATATGAATGTGTAAAGGCATATAGACCTGTGTGCTAAAATGTATAAAAGGAAAACAGAAAACAGAACATCTGAAAGAGAACAAAAACAGTGCCTCTCTAGCATCATAGTACATATCATATAAACATACATTGGAGTATGTATGATGCATAGTATTCTAAAATAATAATATTTTCTAGCTTCTTGAGGAGGTTTAATATTTATAAACCCATTTCTTAAGAATTATATATAATGATGTTCTGACATCATAGAACTTATTTTATTCCTAGAATGATTATATATTTTAAATTAAATTACTTTAATTTGGGGGGGGATGGGACTGGGATTTGAACTCAGAGATTTGAACTTGCAAAGCAGGCACACTACCACTTGAGGCATACCTCCAGTCTGGTTATTTTGGAGTAGGGTCTTGCCAACCATTTGTCCAGGCTGGCCTGGAACCGTGATCCTCTGGATACCAGCCCCCCAAGTAGCCATGATTACAGGCATAAGCCACTGGCGCCCAGCTTTACTTTATTTCCTAATATAGTTAAAGTGAATATGACGAATCATACACCATCTTCAGACACATTGGATCCACTCCTTTCAAGACACTGGGAAAGTGCACAAATAATCACATTTCCTCAGAGTTCACAAAAACCACAACAGAGAAACTTGAGCATAGTATCTGTCAGTGACTACGGGATGCCGTTCATGTGATGCATGTCTGATGTTGCCTCCTCCCCCTCCTCATCCTCAGCCATCCACATTGTGGCACATCTGTTCAACTTGGAGCGCTACCACTTGAGCCAGTCAGAGGGTGCTGGTGGACTTCTTGCTGCACTTTCCAAACTTGGCAACACCCCAAATGAGAGCTACCTTAACCCCGTCAGGACCTTTCACACAGTGAGTTCTCGAATGCTAACTCATTTCCTGTCTGAAAAAAAATCCCTCCTTTCCTATCCCTTTCTTGGGAACAATATGTTTCCAAAGCTTTTAATAAAAGAGCTGGAGAGAATTTTCTGCCAAATGTTAAATATCATTTCACCTTTTTCAAAAATTTATTTTTTTGACAATTAATGTTGCTGAGAGGTTATGAGAAAAACATATGCAACTTGATTAATTTATAGCAAAAAGACATATTCAGTACTTAAGAAATGCTATAACCCAATAAAGCCCTAATATTTTAAATTTTAAAAGCAGCTCATGATCAGATTTTTTCACAGATATCTAACAAAGCATGTGAGGTGATGTCCACACGAAGGGATTGTAGATTGGATATCCTCATTTTCAATTTGCAAATTGCTTTCTGGAGCTCTTCTCCTATGCCTCATGTTTTGGCACACATGTGAATAGCTGGTTTGCCAAATCAGATTTTGACCAAAGAGGCTAATTTCATAATGAGACCTGCCCGGTTTGTAGGACCACTAATGCTTATCACCAATGTACACAGAGTGGTAGTGCCTTTGGAAACAGAAGACTAAAAGTGCAGCCACAGTATCACACCTTCAGAAATAAAGGCATTCCTCCCCATCAAAACACCCCTATGTCTTTCTCTGTGGCTGACCTAAACTTTTCCCCATGAGCTACCATATTGAAATATGTGTCCCGTACAGTGACCAGGTTAAAAAGAGTCAATTTTGTTCAAGAATATCTTTAAGGTCATATACGCTAGTAATGGGAATTTCTCCAATATTATCTGGGCCATCCCTGTAAAGGACCATTTTGTTCATTTCGCCTTATTTGAACAAGAAAGAAAATTCAAAGTCTGTTTTGGAGGGAATTCTACCAAGTCAAACTCCTAATTATCTCAAGATCCTTTTCAATATCAGGCCATTGATCAAGTTGAACCACCATTCCTTAAATGACAGCAATTAGAAGCACAAATTTCACAGATATAAATCAAAACTACAGATGGGTGCCCTAAGCATGTGAGAATGTCTTTAACATCACTTATTTGAGTCACAACATTTATCTGGGCACGTATTGAGGTTAACGTTCCTTCCCCACTAAGGCTTTTAGAAAATTCACTGTTATATAGAACCCAGAATAAACCTCAACATTTTGAAGAGATTCTATAATAAATAGTATTTAATATAAATAACTTTTAAAGTAATTTAATAAGATAATTAAGCTACTCCCAACATAGTTATTTCAAAATTTTAGAAGCAATACACTATGTAAGTACTAATTAAGCTCAAAAAACCTCTAATTTGGGGTGTTGGAGAGAAACGAGTATCAGTGACATAAAAGTACATTACAGAGTATTTTGAAAGAGATACAGTGGGATTACATTAGAGGATTCATTGCAACTCAGACTAGTCTATAAATGTGTTGCAAGTGGAGCTTTGCTTTAATAGTCAAAGAATAATGATTTGAAATTAGCACATCATATGCTGTAGAAATGGATTTATAAAATGCCTTAATATACTTGTAAAAAAAATCTTTTAAGTGTTTTAGACATACCCCTTTCAATTTTATTTCCACTCCTTGCTCTATGTAGAAAAAAAATAAACACTGGAGAAGTCCCTATCCAAATTACTTCTAAATCTCAAAGCAGCCCAAATTAATGAGGTTTTACTGACAAAAGATATAGTGTGAGTTTATTGAGCTCATGGTTGGCTCAATGATAGGAGCACAATGTATGAATACTAATGAGTAGGCAGGAATATGGGCAACTCACAATAACAACAAAGGGCTTTGTGATTCATATTCTTAAAGGCCATTTAACTATCCCTTCAATTCAGGGGTCAGAATCCTGGCCTTTGGGGAGTAGTCAGGAGGTAAGAACACCTGTACCTTTATTGATCACCTAGGAGTTACCATTCCTTATTCCAGGTCCCCTGAGATGGTGTGAAAGAAATGCAAGTCATGGTACTGCCAATTAAAAAGCAAGAGCAAGGAATAACTACCAGGGGAACCGAGTGTGCAGCTGCTTTATTAGGAATGCCCCTAAGGAACCTCTCAAAAAAATGTGTTTATTAATGTTAAGATGCAATTAAGCATGGTAAGCCACATTTTTATTTTAAAAATTAAAAACGTAAAACGCAGATTTACTTTGCAGCATTTTATCTTAAAATAGTCTCTTTCTATTTTGTCCTAATTTCAATTCAACATAGTAGCTTTGACATGAAAATTAATTTATACCAATGGAAAAATATAATGAGTAGTTTATAAAATTTAGCAGAACAAATCTTCACCGTAAGATGGGATGGAGAAGGAAGAATATGCTCATTTCTTGAGATGTATCTGGATCTTCTTGAAGCTAATATGCTTCTGAGTAATGCATTCTAAGTGATATTTGCTTGGACTCTCCAGTACTGAGTCTAAAAAAGGTAAAAAGTATTAAGATATTAATGTCTTTTCTCTGTTCATTTCTCTTAGAGCACGACCACTGTGTTGTTAACAACAATCACAGGCAGTTCTGGCCTGGTGATCTCTCTGGCTTTGGTCTTGATCATGACTTCCTCAACTGAGTTCATCAGACAGTTCTCCTATGAGTTGTTCTGGTACACACACCATATTTTCATCATCTTCTTTATCAGTCTGGCTGCCCACGGGGCAGGGTAAGTCCATACTGTGTTCAGTGTGTTAGAATCTTTATCTGAATGAATCTCAAAATAATCCTAGAAAGTCCTTTTGATGGAGAGACACAATAAGCAGTAAGTAAAGGACACATATTATGTCAGAACACACACTCACCGTGCAAACTTCTTTTCATGACAGAAAATAAGCTACCAAGATGGAGAAGTATTACATTTGTTTTTCCTAGCTGACTGTGTTGGTGAGTCTTGACATGTTTATAAGATTCAGGAATTCTAATGAATGCTGGGTGACAGTAGGTCTATGTCTCTTTCAGAACCTGTTTCTGCAATCCAATTTAGATAGGATTAGTCAGGAGATACATTTTTGACAGCCAGATTTCATTTCTGCTTAACCAAAATCAACAGCTAGGCAGCCCAATTTGTGGAAAGCCACAGTGGGAGAGGGCTAGTCTGACCTGAGCTGTCCTTCAGCTCTGCCAGTAGTCATCAGAGTAACCCAGGACAAGTTCTTTAAGGTTTTTTCAGCCTCAGTTTCCCCCATCTGCCCTATGGGATTCCTCTTTGCTTAGGAATCCCATAAGATGCTGTCCTGGCTTTCAACACCTACCTAATACTGCTAACCTCTTAATTTTGAAACTGTACTGGCACCTGAAGTGTTTGAGGGTGCACATTGCATTCACCCTCAAATGGAATGTTTTCATTTCCTTGATTATTAATGAATGGCCGTGGATTAATTAATTGCTGTCTACAAATGAGCTTGTCCATTTTAATTATTTCATAAATTGACACCTTTTCTGTTAAAACTTTCAAAGCACATTGGTAGGAAGGATCAATTTGACCCCACAACAATCCTGTCAAGCAGACACGCTTTTGTCCCATTTCATGAGGAGATTCCACAAGTTCAGAGGGGTAAGCAGTGCACGCAGGTCCCAGGTGAAAGGATGGCAGAGTCAGACCTATGACACCAGTCTTTAGACAACCCCCCTCCTCTACAATTAACAAGCCCTTGAAGAACGGGTCCTCACTTTTTGTCATTTAAACTTTCTCACTTATCCCCTACAAAAATGTAGCCAGCAATGCTGCAAACACCTTGACTTTTTGGGCTTCCTGTGCCAGCAGAAAAACTTCTTCCAGTCTCAATTTTCTAACCCTTGCCTGTGCTGGTCGTGGAGGGTCATAGACCAAGAAGGACCAGAAGGGCAGGTCCACAACTGCAGAAGCTGCCAGGTCTAAGGAGGCCAGGCCTTGGTGACTCTGGGACACACACCAGGCCCTGTGACAACTCTCGGGGACTCAGCAAGTCATCTGCCCTCTCCAAACTCCCTCTCCACAGGAGAGGCCCCTTCCTTCTCAGCATTCCCACTTCTAGAAGGGCCCCATTTCTGTGCTACCACTACCTCTGCCTCATTAGGAACTCCCCTCCCCCCGCCACCACCACCACCATTCCTCAGCTTGTCAGACACTCACACTGTAGAAGGGAGAGTTACTCCTGGGCCTATTTTATCCTAAAAGACTGTCTTCCCTCTGCCAAGTCTTATGCCTAGTCAGTCAACCTTCAGGTTGATTCTGCTAACTCTCCAAAGGCTTTTTTTTTTTTTTTCAGCTTAAAAGTATCTGCAATTGGCTTTTTGGACTGTGAGAATTTCATCCTTCTTTTGTAACTTTTGCTGAGCAGGGTGGACACTGTGTCCCACCCTAGAGATTGTCGGTCCTGCCTTTCTGACCCTGATTTTTCTCCCTATGTCAGATCTCTTGCCCCCTACCACATTCATGAGGCATGTCTATAAGTCCTCTTCACAGAATTCATATGTGCATCTCCCTAAAGCCATATCCCCTGCCTCCACACACTGGTGTATTACAGAACAAGAGGATTTCAGTGGGCAGTGTTTTGTTGAGATTTTTTTTTCATAAGACAAAATATTTTAGTTATTTTAAACCAGTTGGAAGGCTTATTTGGGGATGGGGCTTCATTTCATTTTCTTAGTTTGAGGTATTCTACAACTACTGTTTACAACAGAAGTAATTTGCAAATTCCGTACAAAATACCAAGTAAAAGAGGGATTATTGGAATGTGATAAAGCCCACAAGTCTACCTATGAAGGGATAGTGTAGATAAAGGCATTAAAAAACATTTGAATTCTTTAAGTCCCAAATTTGTGGGATGATCTGAGGACACTTTTTGATAATATAGTGAATGTTGTGGACATTGCCTAACCCCTTGAAAACAAAGCATTAGAATGTATGGATCCGTCTGGTTCCATTCATTATTCACCCTTCCTATGTCTGGGTATCATTTGTACTTTGGAGATTCACAGATAGTTTTGCTCATCTAACTCAAAGGGGTGTTATCAACTTTGGATAACTTCCATAAAACAGACTGGGACAAAGTCCAGCACATCAGTGCTAGCTGACAGCAGGCTGTTCCCAGGGCATGGCATTAGTGCTCCTTCTTCCCGTGCTCTACAATGCAAAAGGGGACCATTACTGCACAGGACATGAGTCTGGGTGATACTGACGCTTCTACCTGTGACAGTACATTGTTTGTCAAAGTAAATCAGTACATCTCACTCATACACACTGAGGAATTGAGCAACTTCCAGGCCATATGGCCTCAATGTCGGGTCCTTTCCTACCAGGCTACCAGTGGGTTCCCTGAGAGTTTGTTCCAAGCAACTTGTCAGAAGTGAATCAGGAGTGCATCTGTGGCAAATAGAATGCATAATGTAACGTAATGTAACGTAATGTAATATAGTATTGTATAACATAGCATAACATAACATAGGACTCTGTATCCAGTGCTCCATTTATGCACACTGGCTTCTCTCTCCACTCTTAAATTTATCAATACAGCCTTGAAGACACACTTTATAGTGACCTTTTTTGACCCTGTCAAACACTAAGCCTGTTAGTAGTCACTAGGGGAAAAATACCATTATTCAGGGCACTTCTTTTGACTTCTTAACTTGACAACTTCTAAGTGCTCAGAAACAAACTAAGAACATGGAAGTTAAACCAGTCTGCAAAAGAATCAAATAGTACAAAGTTAGCCAATTAGCCCAAATCAGCAATCAGGACGAGATGAAACCTAATTAAATTCAACAATCTACAAAAGGATGTGTTCAAACAATTTCCTTCATTATGAATTCTCTAATATAGACACTTTCAATTTAACACAGGATACCACAGAGGGGCAATTCTTTTTCTGGGATCTTCAAAGTTACCCAAAGCTTTTTAAATTCCTATTTTTAAAGATGTTAAGAGAAATGACTGACAGCCCAAGTTTTAAGAAATGGAAGTGTTGTTCCAGAGCCCAGTGTAGATATAAATCTGTGGTATAACAAGACTGCACAAAATCAGCTTGACATTTTATGGGGTTTTTTGTTTTTGTCTTTTTAAATAAGTCGGATTATTCGAGGTCAAACTCCAGAGAGTCTCCTGCTGCACAATGTCACCTTCTGTAGAGACCACTATGCTGAGTGGCGTGCAACTGCCCTGTGCCCAGTGCCTCAATTTTCTGGCAAAGAACCTTCGGTAAGAATGAACCCTGAAGCTTTTAAAAATAACTGTCCCTACAGTTAAAATAACGAGAGCCTTTATATGCTTGATAAAAGAACAGCCCATGTCACCACGAGACAAAGCCAACTCTTTATTAAGTGTGCTAATGGAGAAATCTAGTTATGGATAATTTTAAAAGCAGTTTACTGCCAAAAGCACTCTGTTCAGCTTTGAAATGTGTTCTTCTACTTGCACTTAAATATGGATGTCTAAAATTATGGGACTTCACAGCAGCACAGTAATGGTTCTGAAGGAGTTATCCTCTGTACCCCTCATGTCGCTTCCTGTCCCCATGCTTAACTGGCTTCTCCATCCTGAGGATTTAACACATTGCTTCTACAGCTCAAAGTAAGTTATAACCAAATGAGGATCATGTCCTCTTTCTTTCGACAACATTTGGGAGTTTAAAAAGTTAGGATATCCAACGCATTGACATTTTGCTCTAATCCAGCTCTTATAACTAAAACAATGGCAATGTCATCCAAGCATAGACTTAACTAATTTGAGAGGATGACAATGTCCATAGATCTCAAAATAAGATTCTCTGGGTATGTTGTAGGAGAGTTGGTGGCGTAGGTAGTCAGAAATTGTAATTCTATTTGGTCTCCTCCAGTATCTTAGAACAGTGCAAACCATTAAGATCTCTGGATGATACATGAAATAAAACAAATTAAGTCAGTAGGTTAAAGTTAGGAGGAAACAAATACCCTTAAATGAGTGTCATCTAAAAATGGAGGTCTGGGAATGTAGCTCAGTTGTAGACCTCCTGCCTGACATGTGCAAGGTCCTGGGTTCAACACCCAGCACTGCAAAAAAAAGAAGGAATAATAGAATATAACAGTTTATATTGGTGGGAATTTAAGAAATAAAGATGTCAACATTGGAAGAATATAAATAATTGGGTTTTTTTTTAAACCCTCAAATACATTAAATTAAACACCTAGTTTTGAGAGTAAAACTACTGAGGGAAATGCTTAAAACCAACAGAAGCAAATAGACATGCCTATTAGACTGTGGTTCTTTAATGGCTAATATAGATTGTCTCTGTCTTAAACTCAGCCCTCGGTAGCCGCTATCCAGCCTGCATATTAATGAAGAACATGAATGCCTCTCTAAAATTTTCAGCTACAGCATCTCCATAAAAAAATCAATACTCTCCCACACCTCATGAATACAGACCAGGGTCTGCTCCCAGCAGTGTATGCTGTCATTAATTATCATTAAGAGGGAGAAACTTACCCACTCTCTGTTAGCTCTCCCCTGCTACACCACCGTGCACACCCAAACTCATGGTGTCACCCTTTCCCATTATTTTTAATGGACCCTGATCCAAAGCTTCTGTGGGCTGTGCAATTACTGCTTGGCTGAGCTGTACAATATTCACTCTGATGTCTTGAAGACATTGAAGCAGAAAGGCATCCCAAGGACAAGGAAGGCCTCTTGTTCTTCACTGTGCAGTACCCCTTTGCCCCTCTTAACTCAGTGCATTTTCATAATGCTTTATTGATAAAATATTTATCAATTCACCTTCAGTGGTGCACTGAATGCTTTGTATATCACCTTTTGTAAACCGAACTGATCAAAAGAAGCCCCCCCTTACACATGCTGCCTCTCCATTGTACTCATAAGCACACACAAGCCTCCCCATTCCAGGATGGCTCGTGCAATGCAGCCTGAAAAGATGCTTGGTCCTCCTCAGCCAAGGAAGCATCTCCTTCATTTAACTGCAACATCAACAAATAATAAAAAGGCTGATTTTTTTTTTATTACTAAGGAATGATGTCAGTGGTAAGGGAGAAAGATTTAACTGGGGTAGACCAAAGTCAGCCTACTTCCACCAACTAGGTATTACATGCTAACATTTCACTAGACACAGGATGGGCTGTGCCCCCATGAGATCTTATTGTCTAAAAAAAGAGGCTATTCATAAACATGCACATAAAATAAAATCAAAGCCAGCATTTTCTTATTTTCTGGTAGGAATGAAAAACCAGGAGTAAAAGTGGAAGAAACAAGTTTCATTACTGCTGCTTTTAAATCAACATGGTTTTATTTCTATCATAAAATACTCACTGTACTGTGATTTTTTGAGTATTTTTGGAGAAGAAAAAAATAAGGCTAAGAATCCACCGGTATTTTAGCATTAAAGAAACTTAGACACTAAAGAATCCTGCCCCTTTGTTTAAGAGATGGGGAAACTGAGTCCTTGGAGTTCCAAATTCTTGCCTATGGTCACAAGGGGCATGCCCCCACAAAACCACATCAAAAAACCAGAGCACCTGACTCTGTGGCCATGACCTTTCTTCTTTCCTCCCTACAACATGTACTCTGAATCTCTGACCTTCTCCCAAGACTTACGCCAGCTCTCTGCTTCTGTCTATAAGCACATATACCCAACATCGTATTTTCTCTGTGAATAAAGCCAAAGCATTTAAGAGTTTGAAGAGAACTGAAATAATAATTTCCTCCAACAAGTTCCCATTTTACAAAGACAGACAATTTGAACTTAATAAAGTCCAAGATGTGACTGAACACACAGGTTGAGGAATGGTAGCCCTAAGCCCACAGACAAGCTCCACCCAGTCACAGGCCTCTCCTCCTAGGAGCATGGTCTCCATGTCTTCCTTCATTCTTGCCTATCCTAATCACCATGCCAAGGACAGTTTCCTAATACTCATCTTTGGTTATACCTCATCTTCATTCACAAAGTCCCAGGGGCTGCAAGAGTATTTCAGTGTAAGTAAAGTGAGCTAGATCCTTCTGAAGCTACTTATATGCTAGAACAGAGAATAAGCCAAGGATGAATAACTTACATTTCTCCTCCTGACTAAACATAGGAAGAAAATCAATCCATTCCCCTTCATTAACATGGAAAAAACAGAGCCCATGGCCAATTTGACATCTTCAAAATGAAGTATGTGATGTTCAAAATGTGTATTCTGAAATAGGTATAGAAGATTATTTGTAAAAATACATAATGACTACGTGAGTGTTTCTGCAGATACCTCTCCAAGCCAGTGTAGAAAGAATTGCATTCTTGCCATCATTTCTGTAATTATTCAAACCATTTTAAGAAATGATTCATTAAAGCATAAAGAAGCTAAGGACTCATTTCCTTGGTCCAGCCTCATCCTTCTGCCACTTCCTGTCTTTTGCCTCACTCTGAGCATCTTCCCTGCCTCACTCCAGCACAAGTGGACAAAAGGTTTGATTCTCTCTGCTATTCTGAACACGTTGCTGAACACCACTGAGGCAAAAAAGAATAAGTGGGTCAAACTGCTTTGTGTTGCCTATATAAATCCTAGCCTTTGTCGGGAAAACAAGAGGCCCCGAGGAAAGAAGCAAAGAGGGATGGTGTAGGTGAGAAAGAAGGGTTACCGTGCAAACTGAGCCAGAGATAAACAAACAATAAGAAAGAAAAGGCAAGAAAGATAACTCAAAAGAAGTGAAAGTAATGCTAAAATGCTAAAAGTCAACCGAAGAGATGGAGCAGGACAACTGATCAGGAAATAATGAGTTATGAGTTTATTGGTGGGGGTTAGAGAACATTCAAGTTGAAGTGGATGAGTTCTCTCCCTGCTCCCAAGATCCTATTAGAGAAGTACGGTTATGGTGGACTTAGAATACAAAGAGGAAATTTAGTGACAGTCTCAAGAGTTTGAGGTCCATCCCTGGCTATCTGAGAGCTAATTCTGCCTTTCTAGGCAACTCCAACTCATTCCCAGAAGGGCAGATTTTTTCTATAACAGTGAAGCTAGATTTCCAAGAACGCTTAATATCCTAAATTCGATGGGCTCATAAGCCTTTAATAGTTTATAAAGCAAGCCTCAGGAGCAACTCTAGTGTTGGGAAGAACAAAGCAGGTTACTTTTTCAGTGTATAATAAAAGCCTGGGGTCCTGAAAGAACTGAGACTGGGTGGTCAGGCACATCAGAGTTCACATCTCAACTGGACACCTTATTACCTTGATGACCCTGGAAAAGTAATTTAGCCTATTGGCCCTTAATTTCCTCTTTTATAAAATAAACAGGATATCATAAGACTCATGGAATTGCTTGAGGTCAGACCTATATCTTCAAATATTTTAAGTTCCCATTCTTTCCTCTTCACTTGAGACAGACCCCTTGTGTTGTACACAACACCTGGTTCAAGAATAGCCTGCTGCAAAATTGATCAGCTCTAATGAAGGTCATATGCATGCAAGGTTAACATAGCAACTCACTTTTTGAAAATGAAAGTTTTTACTGTCAAAATTCTCCAGACAATTGCTGTTTTTATTCTGATTCTGTAACTAAGATTCAAGGTGTTTAAGAAACCAGCTTTATATTTCATTGGTTTTGTGGGTATGTGGGGGGGGGCTGTTTATTCAGACTATTTATTCAGACAGATCCCCCTAGTTATGATGCATTGTTGGCCCAAAAAATACTATTTGAAATTTTTTTAATTTAATTTTTCATGTCCTATGTTGGCTGAATAATGTTGCTTTATAAGCCTTTGACTTTGGCTGAGTGCAGGAGCATTTATGACCCTATCATATGTAACATAAACATCAATCTGCTTTCTTATTTCTTTGCAAATTCAATTATTTCTAATTACATAAAGGCATCATTGATCAAGTAAGCATAAAAACCAATATAGGAGAGTTTAATCTCTTAAATAAGCTTGTATACTTCAAGGAATAATTGAATGCTATAGTCTTTAATACAAGGAGACATCTCTGTTGTTGATAACTGGGCCAAAGTTAACGGAAAATGTCTAACCCCCATCATGTTATATATTGATTTGATTCAAATTGAAAATATTTGGATTCTGTTTTCATTTTCTTCTCTTCTCTCTCTCTGCTGCTCTCTACAGGCTTGGAAATGGGTTTTGGGCCCTGTGGTCTTGTATGCATGTGAAAGAATAATTAGGTTCTGGAGATTTCGACAAGAAGTTGTCATTACCAAGGTATGCGTGTAGCTTTATGTCTGAATAAAAGCCTGAGTGTAGATGAAAATTTTTTATTAGCCCAAGTTTTTAATTTGCCATTTTTATTGCAGAACTGTCTGTAATTTAGAGGCTCATCTTCTGTTCTAATAATTGCTTGTATCCTGAGCATCTTTTAGTGTGACTAATTTTTCTGAAGACAGGGACCAGGGCTGCAGACTGGTACACAGAATTCTGATAAAGGTCTGTGGTACAGCGCTGGAATTACCTGTATTTCTGTTCATTTCAGCTTCTGTGGGGGAAAAGAAAGAGGGAGTGAGAGTGTTTTACACTGGCATAGTAACTTCTGCACCTCATAAAGTCACAGACTTTCACAAACCTAGCAATAATATACAACACACACTCACCTGGACTATGAATAGAGGCCAGGGAGGCAGTCACAAGGCTCTGAGGAAGAGGAGGCACTGGAGGCTAAAGAGAAGGCTCCGAGGGCTCAAGATGGAGAGGAAGGAAATATAGGGTACTCTACCATTTCCCAGTCTTGCTATCCATCCTCACAGCTCTGATTTTTACCTCATGCTGGAGAAAGGCAGGGATAGACAAAGAATGTATATCCAGGAGATTTCAAAGTACCAAATACTCTAGTACTCAACCCCTTGAATTTTAAATGTCTAAGAAAAAAACCCTCTGCTGACCAAACCTATACCATTTTGCTAATAGAATTTTAACAGAATCCTCTTCACAGTCTTTATGAAAAAAAATACAGAAATTTATATTTCTGCTTTAATGTGTTAAAATGTTTCTGTGTTTAAGTTAAGCACCAAAGCATGACAGGCTGCATCAAAAGCCAGACAGGAAAACTTGTGGAAACGTAGAGCTGTTGCTAGGGAGACCGTTATCAGCACTGTCAGAACAAATTCCAGAAGGGAGAGGGAAAACCTAGAACTAAAAATTAAACTGCTCTTCTGAATGGGAAACTACTGTCCCATTATATACTAGATTTTGTTCTCTATGCTTCTTGCCACAAAAGAAGACATAAAAGCCCAGAGAGATTTTTCACAAAAAAGATGAAAATGTACAGAAGAAAATTAGTTCTTTCTTTGGACAAGCAACTAGCTATAAAGGCCTTCTAAAAGCTGTGGAGCCCTTGCACATTGCTTCCCTACATCTAAACCTTAGAGCCTGGACAGTACACTGGATGAGACTCAACAAAAACAGAAACAGAACAAATAAACAAAACATTTCAGAATGAGTTGGAAGACTGATTTTTACTCAGCATGAAGAAATACCAGGGTTAATTCACAAGGGATTGAGAAAAGATGCAGATAATTGCCAAAGATAATTTTTTTAAATGTGAGGATAATGCAATGACTATTTGAATAACTCTAAGTATAATTTAGTGACAAACATGCGTGACAGTTTATATGCTCTTGGAACTAGCTAACTGCACTAGGCAACTTGACCATGTGAGGCATAGAGTCACATTCCAGGCACTACACTGCACATGGGTGCACTTACTAAAGCCAAAATAGGATGAACTGCATTCTTGTTCAAGTTGCAAACCCACACACTAAAATGGTGGCAGTCACCGACAGCTGATAGCCAAAGGTCTAGGGAAATTATACCTCAGGAAAGTTGATTTAAAATTTTGAAAACTTTTAATGGAGTGAAGACTATGTTATTATTTCACCTGAGTAAAAATACAAACAATTGTATTGCTTTTAATTTAGGTAGTAAGCCATCCATCTGCAGTCCTAGAACTTCACATGAAGAAGCGTGACTTTAAGATGGCACCAGGACAATATATCTTCATCCAATGCCCATCCATCTCTCCGCTGGAATGGCACCCCTTTACCCTCACCTCTGCCCCCCAAGAGGACTTCTTCAGTGTGCACATCCGGGCAGCAGGTGACTGGACAGAAGCTTTATTGAAGGCCTTTGGGGCTGAGGGACAGGCTCCCAAGGTTCCCTCCAGCCTGCCAAGGTTAGAGCCCAGGTCTCCTGCATTTCTAAGTCACAATACTGCAAACAGTGAAGTGTTTTGATGCATCAACATGATACCAAACTTGACAATATCTTTATGCTAGGTTGTAAGTTTGAGTCCATTTTTTAAAAAATTAAGAATCTACATTAAAAAATATAACTTAAGAGGTATCCAGGAGGAGCAAGTACATTTCTGTAAAAAAACAAATGTTCAACAAAAGTAGGCAATGATCCAAGAAGAAGGAGCAGTTTGCTTTCCTGGTTCCAAAAGAAGCTCCTGCCTAATTATATGCAGCCTGCCATGAGTCAGACAACTCTGTGAGTGCTTTTCTATCCCAGACTGAGGTTTTTAGATTGTATTTGTAAAGGCTGGTCTTCAGAAGAAGGATGCTCTATTCTTGTCATATTGGACCCACACTGCTCTGTATAGCCACATCTTAACTTATTTCTTTACCTCTGCAGCCCTGTTTCAAAATCAGTTCACAGTCTAAGGTACTGAATAGACTCAACATATTAACTAGGGGTTTTCATTCAGCCCACCATACACCCTATTCAAAAAATCCCAAGCACATGACCAAAGTTCCAGCATAAATTACCATTTCTTGGGTCATATAAGTAAACAATGGCAGAGGGTCAATTCCTACTCTATTGAAGGACCACCCAAAAGCAGATGAAGCTCATGTTTAGGCCCCAGAAAAAAGTAACAGACAGGTAGACAGACAGACAGACAAACAGACACACACACACACACACACACACACACACACACACATATACACACAGAGTGAGAATTTGAAATTTCAAAAGAACCATCAAGAGGGTTCCACCTTTACCTCCCTTGCAGAGCAACAGCTACTGCCATGGGAGCTTTAGTGGAAAGTGTCACACACACACTTAAGTGTTAAGTGACATTATCATTCTTCTCCAGGGCCTAGAATAGTGTCTGATACATGGTGGGTATAGGGCATAGATAAAAATAATAGACAAAAAACCTGAATGCAATGTGGGTCCTTTAGTTCATTTAATTTGGCCACTATGTATTGGTGACAAACTAAGTACCATTACAAATATGAGGCACTGAATCTGATCAGTTTGTTGTCGCTCTTTCACCTGCCCCCACGAAACAAATTGTGTGTCGCATTAGGCTTGGCTGTGTCCAGTGGGTAGCAAGAGCCATGTGCCTTCATTTCAAACAGGGACATTAAAGAATGATATGATATCAAGCTAGCTGTAAGCATCCTCTGCTCAAGCCAGACTCCCAAAGCAGACAACCATTCACATTACCTGACTACTCAACTAAGACCTTCTCCTTGTTTTTTTTTTTTTTGATAGAAAGTAAGCAAGATAACAAAATTCTGAAGATTGGGGAATAAAAGTATGTTTAGTCACACACATGACACACACACACACACACAACACATACTGTGTCTTACTGCTTCCTTGGTCCCTTTGTCTGTCAGGTGGCCATAAGCACTATGGAGAAAACTAAAAGTGGGCCCTGAGCTAGGATTTGCTTATATCTTCAACATATGAAGAATCAGAGTTTCATTAGACTTCCTTGAATGATTTTAGAATTCATCATTATTTTAATTTTGGATTAAATTAGCCACACTGGGGAAAGCACTATATATATTCAGTGATTTAGACCCAGGAAGGATTTAATTCGGTCTCCAGAATCTTTAGACAAGGTGGAGAGTGAGGAGACAGAAAGAGAATCAAGCCTACCCAAAGAGCAAGGAAACTTCCTCTCTGGGCACTAGAGCTCTTTTGAGAGGCTATACCTCTTGAAGTAACATGAAGGAATTTCTCAGAATTGGTACTAAAGTTTCCAGCAGTTTAACCTGCTCAACCCAGAGCCAGGGTTCCAGTGTCCCATGGCCTGGGTTTAAAGTCCAATTTCACATGTGATCTTGGAGAATAGATGGAACACCTTGCTTCTAATTCCTCATCCACACAATGTAGACTGAAATAATAATACTTAAGGCTTGGTTTAGAATTAACCATGATATTCCATATAAAGGCTTTAGCACAATGCATATGACAGAGTAAATGCTCAAAGATATTACTACAATTATTTGCAAAGTGAGAAAGATCACCCACCACAGAATTACAAAGGAAGTGATGGTTAGATGAGCAAATGGTCCTAGTTCCAAGACAGGAGATGGGAGGTTAATGTAGTGAACTGGGTGTGCTGCTGACTATAGGCAGCAAGAAGCCAACAGGACCCCAATTCGAGAAGGAGGAATCACTTCTTAATCTGCATTATTAGAAACTCAGGATCTGGGAGGGGAAGGTGAATAAATTTGACAATAAGAATTTATGCAAAGAAAGACAATTCAGATTGTAAGAGGTCTTTAGAAATGGGGAGATTAGGGCCTCCCAAAAAAAACAAGATGCCATGATAGATAGGATCAACTATGGAAAGGCTTGAGATAGGATTAAGACTTGGGATATATTTCTCAGGAAAGTGAAAGGCGAGAGCTGTCAGAAGACAAATTTCAGTAACACATGAGGAAAAAATCATTTCAAACTTCCCCGAAGGGAATCAAAGCCCTGTACCTTCATATCAGAATATACCAGCTCTCAGAGAAGTGCAAAGAACAATTCTCAATTCTAAGTAAGTTGTGGAAACTTATATATTTCTGTGGGTTTCATGACACAATTCTTCTTTGGATTTAATTGATATCTTTTTTAAATTGGTGTCAAATAAATCTCAAAGATAACTAATTATAAAAATAATCAACAGTAAGACATTTTAATCCACTGGCAGCCTTTGTTTCTCACTCTGTCATTTTCCTTTATCTAATTATTTATGAAATAATCTACAGCGGTCTAAGATACTAACACTTTCTGGTAAATGACCTTTTATTTTTATTCTTCAATTTCCATATATCAATATGTAATAAAGGCTTATTAATTAAGATTACCTAGAGGAGAGTTCATTTGAATTATTAGGAAGTCTGGAACACAGAATATTTTAAAGTAAATCCAGTTGAACTTTCATGAACACATAGTAAAACCCAAAAGGGCCAATCTCAGGTGCCTTCCACAGGCACTCCTTTGGGAAAGGCTATGAATAACTTAGAAACCTTTTAATTAGCATATCCTTGTTCATATGTAAATGTGTACTTTTGGAAGAGTTGGAGCTATTTAAGACATTCTGCTGAGTGAAATGCTTTAAACCTTCCCTTTACAATAGATTCTACAAATTGTCTTTGAATAACTCCATGCTCGGTAGCAAATAAGGTGCTGATATACAGTGGTGAGCAAAGACAGGTCTGGCTTCCACTTCCATAAACCTGGTAGTCTAGAGGTCAAGGCAGACACAAATTAAATCATGCACAAACACACGCACACACACACACACACACACACACACAAATAGTAGAATCATAGCTGTGGTGAGGTGTATGGTATTATAAATCACAGGAGGGGATTTAACCTAGTCTAAGGGGTCCAGGAGGACTTCTCCAGGTAAATAATGATGTATAGGACCTAATAACAAGGTAACTATTAACCAAGTAAGGGGAGAGGGGAGAAATTGAGCCAGAGAATTCCAAGTGAATAAGTTATGGCATGCAAATGTCTTGTGGCAGAAGGTGATACTGTGTATTTAAGAAATAGAAGAAAAACCCAGGTGCTTAGAGATGGAAAAGACTCCAGGGGCCAGTCCATGTAGATCACCTTATTTATCTAAGAAGCATGCTTTATCTCTATAAAGAAAAATTTACTAAGCAAAGACAAAACATCTTTGCTGCACTTGACCGAATGATCACAGATTTTGAGTTAGTTTAATCTAAAATAGTGAATTTTAGAAGTTCTACATAACTGCCAAATTTTTTCAAAATCATATTTATTTCAAACAAATGGTTCCCATCAGACTAAAATTACATGAACATACTAAAGTATGTGACGAAACAAATGAAAACAGGGAAAATTTGGTTAGCAGAAGGAAAGACAAGCCTTGTAAATCACCTCAAACGTCCTCCTATTGCCCTGGGATGGGAGCTGGGGGAGGGGAAAGGGGAAGGCTTTATGATGCTTACAGCAGAAACAACCCTTTGGAACTGGCAGCATCAGGCCATGTGGAAGAGCTATGAGCTACAGCAGGAGATGATGGGATTTGTTCTTCCATACCCTGGCCAGGAAAACCTGCTTTTTCTCACCATGAAGTAGGCTCCAAAATGCTTGTTGCTTAACCCAAACTCTCCAAATAGGGCATTTTTAATTACATGGTCAACCTCACTGCACATTTGCTGATACACCTTATTAAAAAAACACTGACTTCGACTGGTTTTGTGTTCAAGAGCAAGGTGTTCTGAAGGTCAAACCAGCTACACTGTGTGATTGCAGGCTGGCTGTGGATGGGCCATTTGGAGCTGCTTTGACAGACGTGTTCCACTATCCTGTGAGTGTGTGCGTGGCAGCAGGAATTGGAGTTACCCCCTTTGCCTCTCTCCTGAAATCTATATGGTACAGATGTTGTGAACCACAGAGCCAGCCGGTGCTGAGCAAGGTAGGAAAAAATCATTAGTCCACCCTTCCATGGAGTGAAAGGTTCGATGTCCTTATATCTATCATCTGCTGATTCTTGGGGAGGATTTTAATTAACTATAGGGATAAACTCAAGGATCCTTAACTATACTTATGTTCTTAAAAATCTCCATTCAGTATTACATTTATGAGAAGGGTTATGTCTAATCTTGTTAAAGATGACAAGACATAAATTTTATTGCTTCATTGCCATTACAGGACATGTAATTGCTCATCTCAATAAAATGTGGACAGCCTGCAAATGGCTCTGTGACTGGGCTGCCGTTAGTCATATTAACGGGCAGCCTTCCCCTTAGCTTGCAAACGTACAATTTCCACATCTTCCTCGCTTGCCCACTCTTGGGATTCATTTGTCTGCTTATAATGGTAGTGCCGTCCAGCTCCAAATCTCCCTTTTGTCATTTCTTGAATCTTCTCTGACTAGATGTCTTCAAGATTTCTTTCTTCCTTTGTCCCATCTAGAAACATTACCCCATTCTTTGACCCTGTGGAGGTGGAAGGAACTTTCTTTCTACTCCCTGAAGGTTTGGTCATTTGAGTCTATCAAACAAACAGACAACAGACAGATTAACAGGAGAAAGGGCATACATATTTATTGATAACGATCTCATGGGAGTCACACAAAGTATGAGACTCGACGAGGGGCCAAGTGACTGAAACTTAAATATTCTTTTCATGGGGGTGAAAGGAGGAGAGCAGGCAATTTTAAAGGAAAAGTAAATTATTTTTAGTGAAGATGACTGGACTTAAAGAACAGACAAATGCTTGGAACAAAGTTTACCTGGGCTCTGAATATGATGTCAACTATAATTTTTCTTCCAACAGCATAATATTCTGGAGGATTCAGTCTTTAGGTAGATACGGAGTTGCAGAGAAAGTCCCTGCATGCTTTTTGGAAGAGAAAGAAGGGGAGAGCTGGGAGGTGGGGGAGAAGAAGGTTGGGAGACCTTGGCTCTCCTTTAGCTCAAGGTAGTCAGCATGCCAAGATGCCATACTTTGGTGTATCACTTTCTGAACCAGCCATCAGCCACTATACCTGCAGTAGAAGTGGAAGCATGTATCACCAGGCTGTGCCCACAGTATGAACCAGGATGTTGTGTGAGCTTGGGGCTGGCCCTGTCAGTTTCCTCTTCTATCAGAAAATGATGCTGGATTCAATCATCACATCCCAGCATGTGGTCTATGGAACATTAGTCATATAACATGATTTACTGAAGATAATTCTGTGGTCAGATGACCTAAGAAAGGCTCCTACCGCATGCCACTCTCGAACATCCACATTATCTACTTCTGTGTCAAATCAGATCTTCAGAAGAAGGACCTCAGTCAGTCTTTCTTAGCCATGGAACCCTTCTTCACCTGCTACCTGTTAAGGAAAATAGTCCTGTGGAGCAGTAAAGACAAAGCCAGACTCAAAGACCTCTCAAGCCAGGGCTTTCCCTACTAAGAAACAAGAATCAAATTAGTAATTCATGAGGTACCTAGTGACAGGTGCTTGACATAGGCCTTTTTCATTAGATCTGATCATATTTGATTGCTATAAAGCAAGCAGTTCCTCTCTTCTAGAAGGAACGTGAAGTTTAGAGGAATAAGGTGACTTTCCTAAAAACGCAAAGTAATAAAAGGCAGACTCAGGATTCCCAGTTTCATCCAGTTTTTCCCAAGACATGTCCATCGTGTGGACTCAACACCGACACCCTCTGGAAGTCCTAGAGCACTACTGTAGGAAGGCTGTGAAGTGTCTGATTCTGTTCTCACCTGCCGTGTATACATACACCTCTCAGGGCTGGCTTTCCTCTTCCACACAATGGAGACTAGATTCCATATTCAATAGAGAGTTGTAGTACCAAAGAAGACAAATAAATAATGTGGAGATACAGTATTACCGCATCAATGTGTATAAAATGATACAGATGTTAATTATATCTGCCAAAGATACGAATAGCTTACTAGTACTAGTGCCAAAAGCAACCTTCATTTATCAAATATTTAGTTTCTCGCAGGTGGGGAGCTGGCCATTTTACAGGCACTATCTGACAGTACTTGCCATTTTATTCCCGTTTCACAGATGAGAGAACTAAAGCCAATTACAAAGCTAATAAGAATGTTAGAATCACCACATTGGAGTGTCATAATAATTCATTCAGATAAGTAATATCCTCATTTTTCCAGCGAGAAACCTGAAGCAACTTCTAATAAGTTCTAATAAATATTAGAATTAGAATTTTAATCTAGTTCCTTGTGGTACCAAAATCCATCTTTTTTTAACACTTTTCTTAGGATATAGTATTTATACAGGGGGTTTCATTGTGACATTTTCATATATGCTTACAATGTACTTTGGTTAGATTCATCCCCACCATCATTCTTCCTCATTATTCCCCTTCCCCACACTTAAAATGATTTTGGCAGTTTTGAATTTTCTATTTTTGTACACATATATAAAGTACATTAACTATATACACCCTTCTTTACCCTCTCTGTTCACCTTCCTGTTTGGCATTCCTGTCCTACATTGCTTAAGTGTATGATCATTGTTCACAGTTGTTTTGCCATGGTTTTCTACCTGTGAATGTACTGTACTTTCACCAGCCTAACCCTCTCTATTGCTCTTACTCTTTCCTCCTACCTGTATTGTTCAACAGCTGTCAGTGTGTTTTGTTGTGTCTTCTTCCTACACAGATGCGATGTATTTCAATATCATTCACTCTTTATCATTCTCTTTTCCTCTCCTCCTAGTCTCCTCTAACAGTCCCACTTTTGCAAACATGCTCTCTATATATATGGGTACATGATCATGCTTGTATTTGTGTATGCATTTATCTTTTGGATCTTTCTTCCACATGTGAGAGAAAGCATGTGACCTTTATCTTTCTGAACAAAGCCTATCTTCTTGCCTCTACATCAGAGTAAGTTTAACAAAGCAAGCGGAACAGCAGTTGTTTTGCATGTTTGGATCTCAGAGCAAAGCTTTGCTATGTTTTGTAAGCTCTTCCCTTCCTTTTGCTGTCTATCAAGTAAAACTCACTAATAAAGGTGTCTCATTGCTTCAGGGTCCCTTACACTCAGGGTCACATTGCACTTGGCATGAGATGGTGTGGAGGGTATATCTTACTTTCGTTTCACTCAACCAAGGTTTACTCAGCACCTACTAGGAGCCAGGCTCTCTCTCACTGACCTAAAAAGTTTATTGCACCAGACTTACAATAGCCTCACCCTCTTTCCATCTCCCTTACCTCTTTGCAGTCTTCCTGCTATATCATACATCTGTTCTTTTTGTATTAAGATTCACAAAATATCTTCTTTCCCCTAGGAAAGCTCCTTGAACATGGCTTCTCTGGACATCTTCATTAGTGTTTATGTAGGAGCAAAGACAGAAGCCCGGGTTACTGATTTCCACTTCAAAGCTCTTTCATGAAAGAAGTAAGGTTTTCACGCTCTTGAAAGTTCAGGCTGAGAATTGCACTTAAGATCCAACACCTAAGAGTCTGCCTGCATGAGAACAAGTTTAGGAAGTTTCTCTCCTCTGCAGCAGCTTTGTGTGAGAGTGTGTGTGAGTGTGTGTGCGTGAGTGTGTGTGTGAGATGTGTGTGAGTGTGTGTGTGGTGTGAGTGTGTGGGTGTGTGTGTGTGAGTGTGTGTGGTGTGTGTGTAAGTGTGTGTGTGATGTGTGTGTGTGTGATGTGTGAGTGTGTGTGAGTGTGTGTGTGATGTGCGTGTGTGTGATGTGAGTGTGTGTGTGAGTGTGTGAGTGTGTGTGTGTGCGTGTGTGTGTGAGTGTGTGAGTGTGTGTGTGAGTGTGTGTGTGTGTGTGTGTGTGTGTGATGTGTGAGTACAGCTGCTTATGTAACTAATATTTGTCAGGGCCGCCTACATGCTTTTGAGATATAAATACTATTCCTTCTACTAAACTGTCAGCATCTATATAATTTTGAAAGTGCAGCAGAGCAAAGCAATGCATATATAGCTACCAACATCTTCACAATTTCGGATCCAGGCTACAGGTTCCAGAATGTTCTCTTTTGTGACAGGAAGAGGAAAACAGCATAGGAGTTCAGAGCTGGAATTTTAAATATAAACGGTTAACTGCAATGAGGTAGAATTTTCTCCTCCAAGTGAAAAATACCAGTTGGCATAAAGGCATATATTTGCATGTACAAGCCTCAAGTTGCAAGTCTACAGTAAAAAATTTGCCTCAAAGTTTTCTCTATCATCACCATTGCAAATAGTGTCTTCTTTACCCTTCTCCTATGCCACATAATTCTAAGAAACTTGTAAGTAAGAGGCAGACACATAACCAATAACGTGCCAGCTGCTCGTTTGGGGTCATAAACAGCACTTTCTATTTGAAGCTGATATTTTAAATTTCTTTGTTTCTAGCTTTTCTTTTTAAAGATATAGGAAGGGATGAAGAGAGAAAGGGAGAAAAGTGCTTAGGCAAAGACTTCCCAAGAAGGCAAAATAACATAATGGTGGCTTGCTGGGAAGAAAGTGGGAAATGTGAGCCATTAAAGAGATTTTCGCACAGAAGTGAGAGCAAGCTTCACTTAGTTAGAGGCAAACTGAGAACATTGTGGCCCTGTGGGATGGAGGAGTGGGGGGTGAAGGTGGTTGAGGAGTCTCTGATGCAATATGGGGGAGCTGTGTGCTGAGGGGTATAAATGCCCTATAGCAATAAAAGTCCTCCAACTCCTGCCTAAGGGGTATGATTAATTCTACATCACACTCAATTTGTGAAAAGAGCTCTTGAAAAAAATTAGGACAGTTTGCTTGTGCAAACTGTCAAAATGATGAATGAAATAGGTGTTTGTGAATGGGAAGGGGGGGAATATCGCTGACATAAATATATTGGCTTACACATTTTAGCTCTCCCTAATATCACAGCCGGGTAGATGGATCTGAGGGAACTGCCAACTGGAAGATTTGGTTCATTTTCTTAACTGCATATGTAATCTTCAGACTA